CCAAAGCCAGCATTTACAAAAGATTTTTTTCATATTCTTTTCAACAGGTTTACGATATGTCTATTTGGTTCAAGATCATGAAATGAATTACAGAAATGTCTGTAAAAATGCGTAAAATGTTACACATAAATTATGTGGGAAATTGTGGTGTTCAAGGAGTTAATAGAACATGTCGTGAACACTGCAAAATACACAACTTTATTGAATGTTATTTTACAGCAAAAATGAAAACACTTGCAAGCGTATAAGAAAAGGTAAATATGGCTAGTTTGACGTCACTCGGCCTCTACGCCATGGTCGTCTGATGCATGTCCATTTCTTTTATCTAAAATGTCAACTTCATAAATATAATCTGTCAGACAACCTAGAATGTTTTATCTTTGGAAATTTGAATAATAATTGTTTGGCCTGCAAATGGCTTGGTATGACACGTCGTGTGGTGCGGTATTCAGTTATAGTCACGTGACGCACAATTCATCAAATCTCATCACGAGACTCAAATGTTGTATCACCGTTAGGTGGCGCTATTTAGAGACATAAAACGCGTGTTAGCTTAATGGAATGTTCCTCGGATATGTCATGGTTTCTGTCAAGTATTTTTAATGTACAGATTTTTGATTTGCAAGAAGTATCAGTATTATAACTTTTAGAATTATTCTGAAGAGAATATTGCTCCCACCCTTCTTAAAACAATTTATAATATCCAAATGATGGTAATAAAAAACAGTCATAATATAAATTGATCTCGTATTTTGTTGCTGTGTGTACACTTTCATTTAGATAAAAGAGCGCAATTGGTCAATTGTTTGACCAATTAAATCCTGTGTGAAGGTACTGCCTATATCCAGTCACCAGGATAACCGTTATGAGTTGGACATCGTAAAATGGATATCCCCAACTGTGTATGATTGACACGTGCATGAAAACTAAAATATGTTTATTTTTGTGCCAATTGTAGGTTCATCCACGAATTTCACCGTAAAAAAGATCCTGAAATATAACGCTCAACGCCGATTTTAATTATGCCAAGTCATTAGTTGTCTGACGCTAAGTATAACATCACATGCACCCACCCATTGTCTTTAACCAAGCACCCCTGTCTAATTTTGTACGAATAATAAAATTGCGTCCACTGTTGACTGAAGCGTGTCGCAAGCAATTCTCGACAGGTTATAATCAGTGAGACGGCGCTGGATGAACATAGGGTTATAGCGCAAATACGGTACGCCCTCTATATGTCTAGATATATTTGGTTAAAGCTTAGAGAGGGCGCAATGTAAAACATTCACGAGCTGTTTCATTTACTTTAAATGTTGGGTAGATTTGAATCTGAAATTACGGTTTCAGAAAAAATATGCGTCACGTGACATCCATTTTTTAAGTGTCCCACAGTGTAACTGAGGAATATAGCGCGCGTCCCAAGTATGTGTTGTATGCGTCGCATGGGTCCCATATAAAACACGACGCGGTACGACGACTGTGGCGCTTTACATGTCACGTGTCCGCGGAGGGAGGCAGGACAGTCACCTGGGTGCGAGATCATGTACAGACGGAAAAGGTGAATTCACTCGTGTAGCCAATCTGTGTGCCGTAGCTAGAACAAAAGCACTTCCTTGTCCGAAAATGACGGAACTAAATTACTTTTCATGATTCACAAATCAATGAACATGCCAATGCATACGTCATTGTGTGTTATGTATGCTGCCATGTTTGTCCATTTTTTTAGTTTTTTCGATTATTATTATTAATGTTATTTATTTTATTTTTGTAATTCATGTAATATAGTGTTAAATGCACCTTTGTGCTACCATGACTGTTCCAGCTGCCTATGTGCTCTTTACATGTACATCGTTTTCTGCAGATCACACAAAGTTGAAATTCAGCTTCCTTTTTAACGTTTGCAAACTGAGAGGGTGTCATCTTTGGACTCAGAATGTGGAATTAGTATTGCCATGTTATGACAAATACAATCAAATTCAATCAATCATTCAGCACTAGTGTGCGTGGGTAATTATTGACATACGCTACAACGGCTGAAATAACGGTCCTCAACAAATCGAAGGTATTCACCGTACGGCGCTGTTGGCGGAAAGCCACAAGTATACTTGGAGACATTGTGCTCATCGCCAGATTATTTTACAGTCTGTATTTTCTTTAATTTCATTGTTTATTTAAATCAGGACACTTCCATAGGCGGATTCATAATAGATGCCTGAGCAGACCGGTAGTGCGTCGAACGTGAATTTGTTCGACCCATAGCTGACGTGCGCAAACCGGATGTATCATGCGGTATGAGAAATAAAACATTTCAACTAAACTGTAGACATACTAGACAAAGCCTTGACACTCTCGCAAAGGAAGTTGATGTGCTCACTGTGTCAACGGGGGGTTTTCAAGTATATGTTTGCGATCGGTTTTCCGTGAACAAATGAATCAGTTCGTCGGTACATTGAATGCAGCAGTCGGCAATTGAGTGTGAGTGAAATGAAGTGTTGTAACAATAGTACATCGTTTAGTGTGATTCCCACACATACGAGGGTCCTTGAAAAAACACACACAGCAACGTGAAGTGGTTCAATTAGTGAGACGGTTGTTAGCACTTTCCGAACAATGAGAGAAAATTGCTATCCGCGGTCCTCTTATGTGACTAGTGGAAATTACACCCGTGCTCCAGGTGCAGTACTCGCCACCATCCATCCATCATGGACGTCCGAAACATGATCAACTCGCGGATGAGGGAGATAAACATCTACGTTACCCCTAGCAACGTGTGATGGGAGACCGATAAATCGCTGTATCGATGCGAAGCTTCTAATTGTTTCGCTGATCTTTGGACCTTAGGGATTGTTTCTCCCCGTTCCCCTTTCCGGCAGGTTTTGTGTTCAGCAATCGACCAGTTTTAAATTATGGCAGTAGCTCAGAAAAGAACAAAACAAACACAGACGTTATATCCACCCTTTTTACCCATATTGTAATCGGATTATTTGGTTTATTTGGACTATGAAACTGCCATTGATATGATCTAATGTGTCACTATATGGAATTATTCGTTTATTTCATATACACTATTATCGTTATCGCCATCGGCATCTCTGTCAATACGATATGTCATTGATACTTACTCAATCACACGTGTGACTTTTCCCGCCATTTTGACGACACATTTGTCGAAAATAGTGATCGGTAGGTTATATTATTATTATTTATGTTATTTCGGCAATGAACCATTTATTAAGTAAATTGAAAATTCAAATATTTAACTACACAAAATATCAATATTGATATGATTCAAACAAACAGTACTATTAATAATGAATGATTATTTCAAATGTAAAATGTAATATGTTGGATAGGCATATCATGCCTTGGGAAAGATTCAACCAAATAATAAGCCGTT